AGATGTGCATCATCATGCCTGGCTCCTATATCCAGGTTTTTAACATATATTTCTGCAGATTTTTTCCTAAGTTTTTAACACATGCAAGTCTGTACATTTATAAATAAATAAGCTAATTACATATGGATTTTTTTTCCTAAGTTTTTATCACATGCAAGTCTGTACATTTTTAAATAAATAAGCTAATTACATATGGATTTGTGATCTTTTTTTTCATTTAAGAACTTAAGCATCTTTTCATATCAGTATATACTTACTCTATTCTTTAAAAAACTGCACAGTACTCTATTACACGGTTGTATCATGTTTTTTAGGCATATGCATACTTCTCCAAGGAACACCCTTAAAATATATGACACAGTTATTAGTAGGTTTTTTCTTTTTCTTTTCCTTTTTCAAGATAGGGTCTTGCTATGTTGCCCCGGCTGGTCTTAAACTCATGGGCTCAAGTTATCCTGCCTCAGCCTCCAGAGTGCTGTGCCACTGGTCTGGCCAGTTATCAGTATCTTTACAGGAAAATGTTCTACGTTGGGCTGAAGCACGTGGCATTTTTATCTGAAGAGATATCAAATCGCCCTTTAAACAGCGTGGGTTGCGCTGAGACCTGGCAGCAGAGCGTTCGTCTGCCTGCAGGAGGCCCTGGCTTCAGTGCTCAGCACCGGGGCTGAGGTACAAGACAGACAGCCACTGTCCTGGAAGACGCGCTGGTGTCTCTAAACGCTCCTGAAAAGCCAGTGAGCTGGGGATTTAGCTCAGCGGCATAGCACCTGCCTGGCAAGCGCAAGGTCGTCGTGAGTTCGGTTCCCGGTACTGGAAAACCCCCCGACTAAGAAAAGAAAAAAAAAAGAAAAGCCAGTGAGAGAATGAGACTAGCACGCTGGTCTGTGATTACTCTCTATAGAAAGTGACCTTACTATGCCTTTGTACTTAACTCTTTAACTCTGTAAAAAACATTCTGATGAAACAGATCCGAAGTCTCCACTATGGCTATGTAAAAATACTGCTAGGCAAGGCTCAGTGGTGCACACCCAGAATCTCAGCTACTCCACAGGCTGAGGCAGGAGGATCTCAAGTTTGAAACCACCCTGAGCAACTGAGCAACTCAGTGAGACCCTGCCTCAAACTAAAAGTGCTCTGAGGTGCGGCGCTGCTGAGCACCTTCTGGGGCCTGGTCCCATCCACAGCACCACAAACCAGGCCAAACCATAACTACACAGTGCGCCTGGCGTGGTCACCTGCAGGTGCTCCTCGGGCACCGCCACGGGGCCACACTTGGTCTGCGCCGCACACTCCCCCGTGCAGTAGCGGTGAGGGTCGTTTTCCTTCCGCAGGTACTGGTTTGTGGCACACTGTCTGGTTTGTTTGTACGCCAAGTTCGATTGCAAAAGAAAGAGAAGAACAGTCCACGTTAGTTAGACCACAGTAATAGACTAAGAGCTGCAGAGTTACTTCACTGACAGTGGTTACTATTTCAGCCAGGCGATTACACTGAGAAAGGAATTTAGTTGTATGGGGAATCCTCCTGCACTGGGTTTTCCCACACAAATACGTGTGTGTGTGTGTGTGTGTGTGTGTGTGTGTGTGTGTGTGTGTGGTACTGGGGATTGAACTCAGGGCCTTGTGCATGCTAGGCAAGCATTCCACCACAGAGCTACATCCCCTGTCCTGTGTGTTTTGAGTCAGGGTCTCACTGTGTAGTGCAGCCTGGCCTCAAACTTGTAGTGATCCCCCTGCTTCAGCCTCCTGAGTGCTGGGATTATAGGTGTGCACCACCACGCCCATCCCACATGCTTCATAAAGCCAACAGTGTAGCATGTAAAGGAGGGAGGAAGGGTGTGGAGGAACAGAGGCCGACACCAGCAAGAAGGTCCACTAGACCGTGCACAGTGGAAATCAGAGGCAGCAGGATGACGGCCGGTGCTTTTCCTTCCTTTCTGGAAGCGTGCTGCAGCCCGGTCTCTCAGGGTAAACAGCACGACGTCCTAGTACAGAGCACACAGTGTGCAGGGGCCGCATGGCTGCAGAGAGCTCGGGGCTGCAGGCAACACACCCCCACCTACCTGCTGAGCAGGATCGTGCCAGCCGGCCTGCGGACCTGGAACGTCTTCTCTAAGTAGGAAATCGCTTGTGGGAAAAGCTTGTTCTAAATAAAAATTGCACACAGAAACCCAGTCAAAAAGACCGTCAGAGATCAATTGTGTTTACACGAGTAGCAGCCATACGAAGGCCTGAGGACGAGGAAGCAAAGCTCCCGGCTTGAGGACACGGCAGTCAGCGGCGCACGGGGGCAGAGGCAAAGGGCGGCAGGGGGAACCCTCATTTTTAGCTGAGCTTGGGTTGAGAGCAGACCGAAAATCTCTTCCAGGCTCACATTTCCATAGGAAGTGGGAGACAGCAATCTCAACTATCGCCGGGCATGGGGGCCCACACCTGAAATTACAGCACTCAGGAGGCTGAGGCAGGGAGGCTGAGGTGTTTAAGGCCACCCTGGGCTACACACTGAGTTCAAGGCCAGCCTGAACTACATAGCAAGACTCTATCTCAAAAAAAAAAAAAAAAAAAAGAAATCTCAAGTATTCATCTACATTGCTTCAAATCTGAGGCTGATTTAGGTTCCAGCATTAAAGTGGTCAACATTAAGGTAATCCTAATCCTATGTTTAAGATTATCCAACTCCTGCAGCCTGTGTCCCCACCCCAGTGAGACCTAGCTTCATGTACAAACCCCAGAGTTAAAAAGAACATGCTCACACCTACATGGGTCACCGCTACACAAACCACTCAGGAGAGTCACCCAGTCAAGTCATGCATCTTCAGGAGGATGAAGATCCCTGAAGAGAATAGGGCCTCAAGTATTTCTATTTTTCTTTTGTCTTTTTTGTTTGTGGTAAGTACTGGGTTTTGAAGCCAGGGCCTTTATACAGGCCTGTATCTTCAGCCCTTTTTATTTTTTATTTTGAAGCAAGGCCTCACTAAGTCATTCAGTTGCTGGACTAGGCTCAAACTTGTAACCCTCCTGCCTCAGCCTCCTAGAGTGCTGGGATTTTTTTTTTTTTTTTTTTTTTTTTTGAGACAGGGTCTTGCTCTGTAATTCAGGCTGGCTTTGAACTCACCATGTAGCCCAGATTGACCTCAAACTCCTTATCATACTCCTGCCTCAGCCTCCCAAATGCTGGGATTATGGGTGGAGTGCTGGGATTTGAGAGTGTGCCACCACGCCTTGCTCCACGTGTTTCAAATTTTTTCCTTTTCACTGTATCCTCAGCATGGCTTGGTCCCAAAAAACTTGAGACAGCCAGTAAAAAAACGAGAAGACCGACTTAACGTCAAATTATGCAAGAAGGCAACGAATGTACTATCACATAGCAATCAGCCTTGGTGAGGTGCATCCCAGACACCCCAGGGATGCAACAAACATCCACTCTAACACCTCTGACTTGGAGCCACGTGTGAGGCCGTATCTCGGGAGCAGAGAAGCGCCCATCGCAAGTCCACACGCTGGGCTGCGTTCCTCACCTTCACGAGGTGCCTCTTCTCAGGAAGCAACCTGCAGAGGAAGACAGGGGAGGTAAGAATCGCAGCGTCCACCTGCACCCACCGCTCTGCCTGCGCCTGAGTCCAGGACTGCAGCCTGCGGGCCAGACCCGGGCTCCGGAGGCTCCCCACCCGGTGAGTCCCACAAGCTTTCCGCCGCAGCCGCTGCACACAGGGTCACTCATGTGGGTGACACGGAAGGGCACCGGCCGCTCCTAAACTCTTCATGAACTACAAGACACTCAGGATTTAGTCGCTGTCTGTTGTTTGGTCTGTTTTTTTTGAGACAGGGCCTCACGTGTAGTCCAGGCTGGCCTTGAACTCATGGCAATCCTCCTGCCTCAGCCTTCCTAGGATTGGGACTATGGACATGTGCCATGACACCTGGTGATAACATCCATTTTCTGGACCCCTTATAATACATAAAAATTAGGCTGTGTATCTCTCTGGTTACTAATGTGGGAACTTCTAAAGTCATGGTTTGTATTAGTCCCTCCTCCTCCTTCTCCTCTGTTTATTGACAGGCAACTTCTGGTGTGTGGCTGACCACATCCAAACAGAAGCACAGTTGCTCTATTTAAACTGATCACGATTCACTGCTTAATCCTTTCTCATGTACTTTAGCTTTTCAACATTAAATCATTTTCAGCTTAATTTCATTTTAAAGCTACTCTAGCCCTTTTTTAGTTCCATCTAAGGACTTTTTCTTTTCCCCGATACCAGAGATTGAACTGAGGGCCTCACGTGTGCTAGCAAGCTCTCTAACACTGAGCTTCTTACTTCTCTAGCCCTTTTTATTTTTTATTTTGAAACAGGACCTTGCTAAATTGCCCCACTGGCCTCAAATGGATGAACCTTCTGCCTCAGCCTCCCAAGTAACTGGGGTTACAGGTGTGCACCAATATGTACAGCTCTACATATGGGCTTTTTTACTTTAGGCAACAGATGAAATATCTTTAATATTTAGCCAGGCATGGTGGTGCATGCCTGTAATCCCAGCACTCGGGAGGTTGAGGCAGGAGGATCATTGAGAGTTCAAGACCGGCCTGGACTACAAAGTGAGCTCAAGGCCAGCCTGAACTGCATAGCGAGACTCTGTTTCAAAAAGACAAAAAAAAAAAAAAAAAAAAAAATATATATATATATATATATATACACACACACATATATCTTTAATATTTAAACTGGGCATGGTGGCACATGCCTATAATCTCAGAACCTGGGAGGCTGAGGCAGGAGGATCACTGTATGAGGCCAGCCTGGGCCACAGAGTGAGTTCAAGGCCAGTGTGGATATGTAGCGAGCCCATCTTAAAAAGCAAAAAAACTAAAAATCTTTGATATTTAGATTGACAACAAAAAAGATGAGAGGTAATAATGTACTTACTCCTCAATACTTTTATCATAGACAGTCTTGATTCTTAAATGGTCATCAGCTCCTCTCTTTACAACATGATTTGTCTTAAGATGAACCTTATTTATAACCTGTAAGAAGGAATAGATTTGAAGTTATTAAAGGTGAACGTATTTACTGAGGTAAAATTTACATATACTAGGGCAACCCATTCAGGATTCCTCCTGTCTCTCAGGAGCTAGTCCTCTCCCCAATCCTTATTCTCCACTTTTTTCCTCCAATAAACTTTCCTATTCTTAACCTCCATTGTTCCCTATAATTCATTCTTCGACTTTGGGGAACACAAACTTGGGGTGTCTGACATCTAGCACTTCCCCTATACCATCCTGGAGGTCCCACGAAGGAGTTTGGAGATTAAAACCAGAAAGGTAACTGGGCTAAGAAGACAGCCAACATTTTGGCCCTGGCCCTCCAAGGTCAGTGCGGACCCAGGGTATGAGGAACCTTTTCCACAGGATCCCACAGCGTCGAGGCTGCCGAACTCCAAGTGATCACGCAGATGGAACCGACCACAAAGGTGCCAGACTCCTTGTACCGGGATCCACTGGATCGACCTTGTGAAGCGAGTCCACGACTGCTAAACTGCAACGTGACTTCAGCCAAGGCCCCTTAGGTTAGCTCTCCGGAAAAGGCCCCTGACTGTGGTCTCCCCTACACTGACCCTTCTCCTTCGCTGACCCTTTTCAGCTCAAAGCAGCCAGATGGAAACTACTTCTCTCCCCTAGCCGCAGTGAGGGACAGCACCTCAGAGGTGGGACATCACAGTCAGGTAATTTAGGTAGAAACATTGTACGCAGCCATACAAGGCTGGGCCCTCAAGGAAGGCAGTGCAGAAGATAAGAATACATCAGGACTGTGGCTGGAGCCAGATCTAAGTAAGAGTAAAGTCGCAATGGCCAGATTTGAATACCTCCTAAGGGATGAATGGAGGCCTGAAATTACTGGTGTCACCCTTTTGAGATCTCCCATTACCTCAGTAGGGGAGGGCCATCCTCTCCCACCAAGACTAAAGACTAAGACTACAGATTATTGACCAAGGTTAACGATGTCACCCATACACCCTTGCCACCACCGGATCAATACGGGACAGAGTGAGCTACCTGGATGCTCAAAAGGTCGCTCACATAGCAGCAGACAGCACAAGTGTGGAAACCGCACCCTGCAGCCCGTGGACACACGAGAGCGTCTCACTGTGCGCTCACAGGCGTGGCGGGGGCGACACACACTGTTCTGAGCACCTGGGCGTCTCTGAGTGTGAAGAGTAGCAAAGAGCACCTCCTGCACGGCCGCCAGGAGCCACAGCACCTCGCCGTGACCATTCCCACAGGGGCTGCAGACTCGGACTCACTAGGACGCACGCCTGGGTCAACCCGGGAGGGTGGGAGTGGGGCGGGACACCAGGGGACAGACCCCGCTGTGCCTGCAGCGGCTCCGGGGATGGGATTTACAGACACGGACCTTAACAGACACCCAGTTCTTTAAAAATTAAAATTAACAACTGTGGAAGACTATGGGTCTCAGTGCATGAGGGGCAAACTATACGAAATCACAGATTTACTGGGTGGAAAAATACACCTCTCCAATGTAAATCATTCTTCACCCGACAGTCTGAAATGGTTCTGTCTGTGATTCCTCCCGCCTGGGTGCACAGCTCCATTGAAATTAATTGCCTCATTCCCAGTACCAAAAAACATTTTTTAAATAAATAAATACATTAATCAATTAACTGCCTAAATATCTTTTTATCTCACTGCCTAGAGCAGCCCACAGAAGGATAAGAAAGAGCTGCCTAAGCCAACACATGAAAAAATACGATGGAGTCCGGGTTGTTTTTCCTCCCCAGCTAAAAAGAAGCATGGCTTCTGAGTCTCCCAGAAGGACCCTTCACACCTGAGAAAATAACATTTAAAAACGGATACAAACAAAACCGCTTCTGACCCAACCCAACCGAGGTGAGGACACAGCAAGTAAAAGCTAACCTCCTCCAGTTACTCTCACTTCCGGCACTGTGTTCCCTTCTGCAACTACTTGACCGCTGCCCCGGTGTCACGGTCAGCTCTCCGACCCTGGCCTGCTGGTGTTATGATTCTCCATCCTGTACGCCCTCTGACACGCTAGGCCACGGCTCTGCAGGTCTGGAAGGGCGCCAGGCGCCGTCCAGTATCAGACGGCACAGGCTTGCTGACATCTCAGAAGAGTCTCTGCTAAGCTGTTGCTTCACCAATCGCTCCTTCACAGAGCAACCTGCAAGCAACGGGATGTTCTCTGCAGGAGAACAACTGCAGGAGCAGCTCTTCCAGCAGGCCCTTGAGGTTTCTCTGCAATACCCTCCTAGGATCCCAGAGTAGAGCACACACAATGAACGGTCAGCGCTAGGAGAGAATGCAGAGGTAGAGGAGAGCACTGAGTCTTCCAATCCGGATAAACCCTGAACAGTGTGCAAGGGGCAGAGCTGAAGAGGGAGGAGGAGACTGCACATCAAGCTCTCCTCGCTCCTAAGAATGAACCAGTCACTACTTGAAAAGGAGAGGGAGAGACACGCCGGCTTCCTCTCAAAGTGCGGCACCGTGCTGGACCTGTGACACAAACATTTATTTCCACATATGGGAAGGTTACGGGTGGAAATAGACACAGGGGTGAAAATAAAGATAGCGGGACAGTACGCGGAGAGCACTGTTCACCTTCCATGTCCCATCTGTGGCATCGTGTGTTTACAGTCCCCCGGGAGATTGATGGTTAGCCCCACATGAGGGAAGAAGAAACAAGTTCAGAACAGTGAGGGGACCTGAGTTAGTGAATGCTGGGCTGTGATTAGAACCCACAAAGTCTAGACTCTGGATTCTCTCCCGTTGGCTTCCCAGTCAGACTGGGTAACAGAGGGAGAGACTGAAGGTACACGGCGTGTCTGATGTTCCTTTACCTGAAGGGGATCCAATATGACACCAAGAAAGAAACATGGAGGTGCTTCTAAATAAAAAAGCTCCCAGCACTCAGGAGGATGAGGCAGGGGAATCACTGCGAATTCAAGACCAGCCTGGGCTACAAAGTGAGCTCAAGGCCAGCCTGAACTGCATAGGGAGACCCTGTCTCAAAAAGACAAAAAATTCTTGAGAAACCACTTTGAAGATACCACCATGTATTACAGCAGCCATTGATATTTTCCTACTAATCTGTCCATAACTCTGTAATGTTTGTATTGTCCCTATCCTATTTCGTAAATGGATGCATGTATATTATTATGTGTTTCCTACAACAACCATTGAGAATAGT